GGTAACTTACTTAATTATAATGCGTTTTACAAATTTTCATTATAATATCTTAATAAATTTTCAAGTTATTTAATTTTTAAATTTTAAAATTTCATAAATTTTAAAATGTTCCAGGCGCTTCAATTTTTGAAATTTTTTGCTGAATTTTTTTTAAATTTACACATTGTAAATACAAAAAAACTTGCATGACTTAAAAATTCATTGTTTTTAGTTTCTTGAGAAGTAGTAAAATAATTTTCATGATAATAGCATTTTTTTTAAAAAAAATTTTACTTTTTTTTTCTAAAATCACCCTAACTTATTTAATTTACCACAAAGATGCTAAAACTGATCATAGAATTATTAAATATGCTATTATTAAAAGTTTGGTGAAGTTTTAGCACTCTACCTAAAAATCATATTCGCCTGGAACATTTTGAATTTACAGAAACGTGAAAAAAATCAATTTTGAGAAAACAGCAATTTTTGTCAAGAACTCATAATATTTGAAAATTTATAGTATAAATCATCCCAATACTCTGAGAGTAAGATACATAACTATATTGAGATAAAAATATGGAGATAAAATATAGTTTTCTGTTCACATAATGTAAAGAATGTGATATAATTACAGAATTCAAAATACGAAAAAGTCTGTTTAATATGGTTAAAGGCTTGCTACTGTAATATGAATAAGTTTACTCAATTTATAAACAAAGTTGATGTCTATTTCATTAGTATGATGTTAATTGTAGTTATTTTTATTGATATAAAATATTTTAATTTACCTTTTTAAATTTTGAAATGTATAAAAAAATTATCTAAACAGTGATAGCCAATGAAAATTCAAGACAAGAGTTAAAATATTATATTTCATACCAACAATCAAAATATTATTATGAATTTTGGAAAATGACACTAATAATCTGAGAATTACAAAATTCTGACAAGCATTCTAATAAACATAACAAATGCAATGAAAAATAAAAACATATTTTTAAATAATGAAAGTATTTTCGAAAATGTTTTTGTCATAAGGTACAAAAAAAAAATAAACAAAATCTAAAAAGCACCAGCAGCATATGCTGCTTTATCATTCTTTGCTGCTCGTTTTTTTGGGATACAGCGATTTTTTTGAGCTTTCCTTCTGCGATCTTTTCGCTGAGCGATCGTTAAAGAAAAACTGTTTTCGAGTAGTGCTGCTTCATCTGTCGAAATTTGTAATGATCTTACATGGCCTAAATTATATTCTTCTACTGCCTCAAACACAGCAATTTCAAGTCTTTTTTTTGAGACAAATACCTCTTTAGGGCACTTCCTCCATATACAGCTATGGAGGCTTTCGTTACGGTTCTGGGTCTTGCCAGCAACACAACGTTTTAAAATTTCCTCAGATGCCAGCCGTTGATACACTGGCATTATTTTTTCTACCACTGCTTGCGAGAGAAACATTTTCATTTGAGAATGCTTAGCAATGGGTCTCCCTTCAGCAATGGCTCTCTGAAAAAAACACCAGGATGAAGCACCTTCAGGGCAATGGCTGTGGCTCGGCTTTGCGTCGGTTGATGAACAGTGTTTCAAACTTGCATAAATTGCGCTTTTCATTTTTGAAATATCAGGTACATTCTGTCTTATTGCTTTGCGATAATAATTCTGAAGTTTCAGAATGTTTGCCTCCGTCAAATTTCCTTTTTTTCTGCCGCCTAAGGTAACTTTTTTAATTCGCCATTCTTTCACCTTGTTACGAAGCGCTGTTCCAAGTCGCTTCGCAACATGGTTCAAGCATTCCTCCTTTGATACTGTAATATCACCATAAACTTTGTTCTCCAATAAAAACTGATAAGTTTTTGAGTCGCCGTCACTCAGAATAGAAGTATAACGCATGCCACACTCCTTTACGGAACGGCTCCACATTACATATGCTGCATGCATTTCCATAGAGCCCGAACTTCCTTCAAAATTTTTTTCACACTCATCCTGATGAGCACTTTGCCAGATACTGAATTCAGCACTGGCTGCGCCAAGATCACTTGCTGTGACAGTGCAATCCTGACAGTACTTGGAAAGGATTTCATAGTCTAATACAAGACCTGTCAGGACATCAATTATTATTCCCATTCCAAGATTAGATGTGTGGCCTCTTTTTTGCCACGTGCCATCATAAGATACACTTATGTCTAGAATGTCTGTAGTGTTTACAGAATCTACACTCATGTGAGATTCTCTCACAATTTGGCGAGATATTTCGAGCATTTTCACTTTTAGTTCTTTGTTTTTCACCGATAAATTATGCAGACATTTGGAGAAGGTTTTTTTATCCATAGAGGGCATGTTTAATACAGCGGAAAAAGTCTCTAATGCAGCATGTCCTCTACCAATGGCCAAAAATGCGCTGACTAACTTATTATTTATCTCAAAAGACGAGTTTGTGTCTTCTCGACAACTCGAGAAAGTTGTGCCAAAAGACTCTCCGCATGAGCCACAGAGAAGTTCCAATTTTAAAGAATAGCCGAGAGAATGGTGTTGCACCAATTGCAAACCACACTGACTACAAAATTTGCAAGGCACTTGCAACAGTAAATCTCTCCACATCTCTGTGCCCATAAGTATATAACTTGCTTCAGGAGTAGCATAATTGTGGCTGAATGAACAACTCGGACCTTCAGTTGCAGATATTGCAGAACAACTTGCCTGAATATCAGAGGAAGATGCTTCTGCAATTGAATCATTCCCTTTCTGAGAATGATATCTTCTTGAAATTTCAGCAAGCATCCTACGTCTTTTAGTCTGACGACCTTTCGGTTTTCGATATCTGGATGACAATAAATCCATATTCGACGTTCACCCAAATGAAATCAGTAAAGTTTAAAAANCAAAACATGTAAAAAAAAAACAACTTTAAATTTACTTACGAAAAAAAAACTATTTAGAAAAATAAGCAATAAGGATTTAAGGGCTAAAATATGTAAGAAAAATAAAATAAAAGTGAAATTTAGTTCTGAAAAGAACTGTTTTGTTTAGTAAAAAGACAAATTAAATCGATACAACAAAGATCAAAACAAAGATGTGCAAACAATCAATCAATCTGGCTTCTGTTGCCAGATTTTTGAAAACAAGACATAATAATAATCAAAAAAAGAGGCACTACTAGTAGAATATATTATAATAAAAGTTACTTTCGAACTGAAATAATAAGTTCTAACACTGCAAAAGAGGAACCATTTGAGAGGTCGGGGGCGTGGCACAATGTAAACAAAGGGGCGTGGCACATCCAAAAATGCTTATAACTCGAAGAAAAATCATCAAATTTGAAAAATTCTTTTTGCATATAATAAAGTACCTCCAAAAGTATCAAAAACAGTTAAAAACGAAAAATCGATTTTTTCACAGCTTTTCATTGATTTTGGTATCCACTGTAGCCTTAATATGCGAAACTTAAAAATTAATTTTATCGTAATTCATATTGAAAATATAAATGCAATGTTCAGCTTTACTTATAATAATAATAACAGCCTTAGGCACTCGGAGCTTTTTTTTCTATCAACAAGAAAGTTAGTTAACAAGTCTTACTGGGTAACATTGATGTCTTTCTATTTAAAATAAATAAATAAAACCTTCACAGTAAAACAATAACATATGGGATCAAAGTTTTCATTTGTCGCTTTTGGTATGAAGATATTTGCTGTAAAACGTTACTTCCTTTTGATTAAAAACTTATTTTTTTCATTATGGCAAATAACTTATCACAAAATTTATTAGAATATAATCAATAAATTGGCGAAACTTTAGTGTTAAATTTAAAGTAATGCTTAAGTGAAAACATACGATTCTTTAACTAGAACGAAATAAAAAAAAAAATAATAATTACAACATTGTAAACAATTTTCATGAATCAAATTTCATCGTAGTTCACAAATGATATTTGCGTTACCTCGTCAGATTCAAATTTATTATATTTGTGATTTATAATTACCAAAAAAATTATAAATCACGAAACAAAATAAATTCGAACAAAAAGACTTCGATTTCGCAATTTTTCAACTTTTGATATTAAGATCAAAAAGAGTAAGTTTAAGCTATTAAATGTTTAAACAATCACTTTCCTAAAATTTAGACTTTTTAATTAAGTTGAACTAATTAATAAATGTCATAAATGTTATTTTAAATAACTCATATTAACACTTTGTTTAATTATCACCAATATAGCAAATGCTATTTATGCGAGAATATTGTGTTAGGGAAATGCCTTTCATTTTCAAAACTAGAATTTTGATTACTTTTATAATATTAATTATTACCTTATTAATCACTTTTAAATTCACCATAACTCATTAAAAAAAAATAAAGACAAAACTTAAAATCTTGCATGCATACAAAAACTATGGCTGTTTTACAACTTTTGA